GTTAAAAATTCACTTTGTCCTGATGACTTAAAACTGCCATTTTTGGTAGTGACCCACCCCATTTCCAAGATTTCTGGCCAGGGGAACTGGCAGCTAGAATCGCCAAGTGAATCCAATTCGATGGCCCTTCAGGCCAGCTGAACAGATCGCCTGGTCTGACTAGGGGTAGTAGAGCGCATTATTCGCCTATCGTCCTGTGGGAACCACACAGTGAGTTGGCACACCAACGAGGTGGAATTAGAATTGTGTGTGTGTACACAGGTGGTCATACCTTAACCAGGACCAAGAAACATTTTCACATTAGCTCAGAACTTGGGCCCAAACCTGCAAGGGAAGTTAACGTGTACAATTTTCCTCGAATATGCCGGAATGCATCAGTCATTCGAGACAGTCTCAGTTAAATCTTGATTTCAGCCCACCAGCTAAACCGGCTGTTCAAACTTCGTTCAGTGGTTGACTCAAAAGTGTGAAAGTGAACCAAAGAGTTACATGACCGGTCACCCATCAACTATCTAGAAGAGGCGCAGAAGCTGACTACATTTTTCTCTCACTACAACGTTCGCTTCTCCATCACTGAGTCCGAGTAAAAAAGATAGGTGTTTACTGATCCTTTTTTATCACGATTTGCCGAAATACGAGGATTTCTCAGTCAGTTAGTTTTTCGGAATTGTTTATGTGCAACCAGAAAAGGCTTAAAGTAATCCTCGTCACTCTAGTTCATCAACATGGTCCTTGTCAAGTACTGCTTGTTCCGTAAATTGTACGGAAAACTCTCAGAATAACTACTCGGTTGAGTTTGAATAGAAGCCGTTTTATGTTGCGGTATTCATTAAAAAACGTGCAAAGTTGAAAAATGAATCCATCTTAGGCCTTTTAGTTCGGCTAGTTATTGTCATACCTAATGTAAAAGATGCATTCACTTGACTTACCCACGTGATCATCTTGATTAAGTGCACAAAAGTGAGGCTTCCGGGTGAGAGGTTTTGCATGTAGTCCTTTAGCGAGCCCAATTCCATCAGTTCTGTGACGATCAGAGGTGGCTCCGACGTTGGTTGTGTGCACACAGCCATAAGTCGGACAATTCGAGGGTGATTCAGTCGGTTCATGATTCGAGCTTCTTCTAAAAATCTTTCGATCTCCATATTTTCGTCTGGGATGAGCCGTTTAATGGCAACTGGAGTACGCTTGTTCCACAATGCTTGCCAAACCTCACCGAAACTTCCACGTCCAAGTCGTTGAACGAAAAGGAAACTGGACCGTTCCACTTCCATATGGGTCAGAGTCGACAGGTTTCGGGATGATCGACGATAAGGTTGTGTTAAGCGGCATGGTAAGCCGTCAGAATGAACTAAAGTCAAGAAACAAATATATGCTTTCAGACTGTGACGGAATGAGGAAGGTAGCAACTGATTTACGGAAAGTAAGCTCTGTTAGCCCAGGCAGCGTCATAATATTTGAGGATCAATACAGTAAAGGTTCTCTGGAGTAGTTTCATTTGCTGGAAATATCGTCAGCCTGATTGAGCAAACAGTAAATCAGTGTAAACGAAACTCCTACCGCCAGCCGGCCAGCGTCAGTTCCTAGGTGTGTTTTCTACTCACAGGGTCAACAGAATCCACCTCTGGATCAAACTGTTGCATGAAGCGCTTAGTCCTAAACGTTACTGCCGTAGGTTTTTGGAATGCTATGACCTCATTGTCTACTTTACCTTATACCATAACCGCTGATTCGAAACCGTCCGGGATACTCGATATTTGTGCAGTAAATACACTGAGTTGGCGAGGGAAACCCCTGATGGCGTTCGTTATACCGTATGGGTTAACAGACAAAGAGTTTAGTTTTATAACGTAATAAAATGTATAATGCCACATGGACACCCAATTCAATTATTAGTTGCAATTGATTGGGGCGCATATCTTAAGGAAAAGGCTTTTTAAAGTATGCTTTCTATAGCGCAAAAATGGTCTGAACTATTTAAAAAAGACTTCCAGCGGGGTGAAATTGTTGTTGATAGGAGACTGCTGTAAATACCTTGACTTCACGTGGCTTAGCTAGAATGAGCTCCAACAGTGTCTTCCCTCCGAAGGAATGCTTTCTCATTTTGCTCCGCTAAACCAGTATTTTTCAAATGCAATAATTTACCTCTTTACTGTTCTCTCTCAACATCAAATATTTCAAAATATTCAACTCCAAATCTTTCAGCATTCTGCATTCGGCAACACCGATGATTGGATTATTTTTTAGCATTGCTCAGAACCGCGTCATAGAAACTGGCAATGAAATTTATACCACTGTAGGACTTGTTTATAATGGCTCGTGAATGTTCTCCTGGAGTTCCAGTAGAGAACTAACAGAGAGTGCTGTCTTTATAATATAGATAAATATTCTATTGTTTAAACAAAATTGCTTTGTTATCCTGGAAAAAGTGTGAGAAACGCAGTTCAGGGAAGAATTCATCCAATTTACGTATTTGATTTTCCTCAACAGCGTTCTGGCAGGGGATCGCGGGAGAAATACGATAGAACTTCCTCATGAAATTGAATTGATGTTTTCAAGATTAAGGATTGATTCGTTGTTCTAGTGGATAGCTAATGAACTTTGGATAAGTTTGCATTAGAGAAATCTTCATGGATAGAATTACACCTGGGTGAGAAATTCAGGAATTATTTGGCAGCTGGTGAATGATTTATTTCAGACATCCTTAAGGAACACATGGATTCGTAACTTGCAGTGTTTGATGGTGTTCTTCGACACTTCCTCACGACCTGGATTCAGACAGCTCCAAGCTGGAAAACGTGAACCGATGAACCAAAACTAACAGTTCGTTTTAGCTTTTGCCTGACTATGATAACTGTAAGAGCTTATGATTTTCCGAACCTTCGCTTAATTACGAATACCATTCTAAACGCAAAAGGGAAACTGCTACTTACTTGAGTGATAAGCCAACAGTTGATCAACGTCATGAAATGATGCACGATGGAAGATGTAGAATCTGTTCTTCGAGAGTCGATAGCGAATACGATAGTGCTTTACAAGCCAGGCATTTAGTTTGCGGTCAAAGCAACGGATCGATAACGCGAAGGCATTCATTGAATCTGAAGAAAAACAATTCAATTTCCTGTATATTTTGTTTGAAAAATAACTCCAATAAACTTCACTATCGTTGTCACTACGGTTGTCAAAGTGCTACCTGGGAAACGCAGTACATTTAAACTATCTTGTGAACCACTGACGGACCGACTGGGTCAACCCTGAAGGGAGTCGTTTCTTTGTGAAACAAAATGCATCATAATAAACAAGCGACGTCAGTACTTGGAGTTTGTAGAGGAGAAGCATATGTGTTAGATGAACTGGCCGAAAACACCATTGACTCAAATGTGGACATTCATTTTACTAGGGGCGAAACGTAAATTAACGAACTCACAAGAAATGTCCTCTGAGTACAGGTGGTTTCCTCACAGACTCAGTCTAGTTATGATGCCACACAAATTGCGTTTCTCGCGCAATGTGACCGGCTAACATTTTGCGCGTGGAAATCGAACATATTGGAAGCGGATATTTTTTCTATTGTGCAACCATTGTTCCTATTCGTAAGCTGCATGATAATTCTTCTGTCGACTGACCCACAACCGTTGACTGATGTTTATCCAGGATTGGTGGTTCGGTCACATAAATAAAAGGCGTAAGGTTTTAATGTACCTACCAAAGACAAAACCACACTTCAGAAACCCTTTTAAAAACATGCTGCAACTTGACCAACGTATTTTTATCGTTTCTAACAGTTTTCATTCCCACAAGAGTAAAAGTTGCCCACTCCATGTGTGAACCCATTTCATTTTTTCAGTCCACCTACTAAATTAGAGCGAAAGGTGATTCTAGTGCTTCCCTTCTTGGCATCAATCGCCAGAGCAACTATGCCAGGACATGAGGGTGACTGGTAAGACAAGATTATTGAGAATATGAATCACATTTTTATTACTTTCCTTGAATATGCGAATTGGGATTTCCACAAACTGAGCAGGAGTTAGAGACATCATAAACAAGAGGTTCAACTGGGTTCCAAGTGAGTCTATCGCAAAACCAAAGTTGTTTGCAAATGAATGTGTTTCTCCAAGACTATCCTTAATTGTAAACAAGTGGATGATGGACGTAGGTGAGGAACTAGTCCAACTCTCATACTGAGATCCGAAACATTTCTCGACTTCGAAGCATTTGACATCCATCTGGATGTGTTCATCAGCAGTCCACAATTTGCTCCTCAAGGCGTGTATATCATGATTCATCTTCGTCACTTCAAGCAATATCCTGATGAATTTGCAAGACACGTAGTTACCGTCTTCTACCTATCTGTAATCCGCCCACCTATCGTTTACCGTCTTTAAGCACCTTTTTCGATCCCACAGTCATAAAGTACACGTCATTTTTCATCTTACCGAAATCAGCTATCAACGAACTCGTTTCGGGGTTAAATCCTCCAAAAGAATATTAACTATGCTCAATAACATTGGCGCATTTCATGATCGCATGGTCAAAGCATATATTTCACATCTGTCGTTCATACATGACCAATGAACAATTTGACATGAGTAAGTCTGTGGCATCTTTGAGTAGACTTGTTGAGATAGGGCGGAAATAAGTGAAAAAATACTGGATGATCATAATTACATGGATGCCAGCTACTTTTGCGTGAAAACTAAACATTGACGTATAACACATTTTACATAAAGCGGTTCAAGTGTGGAAACAATTGCACACCATTTTTTCAAAGCACGATTTCGCTCTTTTTTGTTTAAGCTTCTTCCTGCTGGACGCGACTTATAAGCAAGCCAAGAGGTTTTTAACCTAGTTGATGTCCGAATCACATGGAAGTCCTTCTTAAGTACTGTTTTGTTCAAATAGGAAATATAGAATGAATCGTTTGCATATTGAAAGATGTACGCAGTAACGCCACAACACGATGAAGACGAGGTGAAACAGTTCAAGTTCAGATGTTCGGTAACCCTGATGTTGAATATTCAGCCTAAATGTGCTGCACCGTGCTACGTGGCTGAGGAGAAGCAACAAACGAACAAACAAACGAAAGCACTTTCGTTGAAGTTCCTCGGTCACACCTAATTAGAACGCTATTTCGTTATTTTGACTATTTTAATCCTAGACGGTGTTAGACAACCAGTCACCGATTGACAAAATCGAACAAGTTATTGTGATAACCAAAACCGTACTAATTCCCACCTGATGGGCCTCAAGAAGGGCTAAACCGGTTGTGGGCTATCGAGGAGTTTTCAGCACCCTTGTGAGTAGTTTCCTTTACGGAAATGTACTAAGTCCTGATTAAAAAATCTTGCAATCTACTGGACTTTTTCTCCTGTTTATCCATTGCAGCTCTCCGTGTCGTCATTCATAGCAGGTCATCCCACATGCTGCAGGCGTATTTCCGCCGCTGTGAAACCTTAAGCTGGAAGGACTTCAGTTATCATCTCTACAAATCTTGTGTGCATCAGGCGTACCAGTACGACTCAGTTGCACTGAACTTACCCTAGTTTGACCATCATTCATTCCGACGAAGGTCGTTTCCAAACCATATGCCAGGGTCAGTTGGAGAACAGCCTAATGATTTTCCAAACAGGTTTTAAAATTAAAATGGATTAGGTATATAAAGTATCAGAGTAAAAGGCATCATTGAACGTTGAGGACCGTGAAATTCCAGCTCCTCGGTAGTACTTCCCGTACATCAAATAGAATGCTGATTGAGGGTGATTTGAATGCCTTTGTATGTCTAGGAAAAGGACCAGGCCGCAGTGTAAAATCTAACCCACCAAAACGTCAGAGAACCCATCTGGATGCAGGGAATCATCGCACCTTCGACTCTAGATCCACGACTAACGAAGTTTTCGAAAGCCCTGGGGGACGTACAGTATTCCCTGGGAAATATCGACTACGTGGTTCTAAGCTTTCGACTGTTTCCGATAACTCCCATGAAAAGAACTAGAAGAATGTAAAAATAATGAAGTCGGAATGGAGGCTGTGTGAAAACCTTGATCCAAAGGATTCGTGGTAGCTTATGTGAGACAAGCCATCATAACTTATCATCAGCCACGTCCCAGTCAGATACCTTGGATGCGAAACATGCCACTGCAGTAAACTTCTGAAGCTAGCTATATCTGTTAGTTGCAGTCCACTGCGTGGCTAAGGTTCCGGAAGGATCATTGACATAGGTGGTTTCTTATTTATAGATGTGAATAAAAAATGCTGACAGAGATATGCAATGTGTCAAAAGAGTACTTGAGATTCAACTTGTTAGAAATACGAAGGCAGACCCCAAGAACTGCTTCAGGTATGTCAACTCCAAGATCCGGCGTACAAAAGTAGATTGGGGTCTGTCGAACTCAATGATATTTGGATTACCCCGAAGTGATAGCCTTTGCATTCACCTTTATTGCAGTACAGTGAGACGATATTTGAGTGCCCATCACTCTGTCCCAATTATTTTGACGGACTGTCGGGATGACAGGCCTGGGTTACTGAATGCAAGGACTATCAGCACGACCAATGTACTCACCATCCCGCTTAAATCTGACCGCAACAAATTGGCCGGATCGGATCTTCTGCGCCCTGCTATACTCAGAGCAGATGCGCCAAATACGGCAACTTCCTGCTCTTTCGTACAATCAATCAAGATGACTTTCCAAGCCACAGAACTATTCAGAAGCTTGTGAGTCACTCTTCCTTCGTTAACCACGGAGCATCTTACAAATGCATGGTTGCACACACCCGTACGTCATACGTGGTGGTTTTGTCCGGCAAAGATTATCGCTTCTGAACGTTGTTATATTCTCAAAAAGTGTAATTGCTCATTTGCTTGTCAGATTCAAGTGACTCACCAAATTTACATCTGCCTTATCGGTCCTGACTTTAAACGGTGATCATCGCTTCCAAACAGTGTTCTCTTTACTTGCGGTCATGAGCAATTTTGTACGTCGCATATATGTTTGAGGCTGCAGAAATAGTTTTATTGCTTGAGATGGTGCTGTTGTAAATCTTCATCAAGAGTTACATATGTGAGTGTACGCTGTAGAAGCCAATGTATGGTGAGCGTTCATCACCCGAAAATGATCAAGAAAAAATTGAGGACTGAAGAAGTATATCAGTGGTAGACGAGATGGCTGTTATTGCTCTATGATAGAAAAGGACGAGTATGAATACTGCAACAAAGATTATTGATTGTACAATGACAGATGTTGTTGCCAAAGCGAAACAGTAGTACATCTAGAAGGTTGTATGTGCGTGCTTGCCTCGATGGTCGATCGGTCGGATACAGGTAACTATGGTGTACTATAGTAACCTGATCGCTGGATATGTACCAAGAACGGGGAGCTGGTTTTTTTGTCCAATAGATACCGACGAATTCTTCTAGCCCTCATATGCATCCAACTTTATTGTACCATAGCCGATAATCGTACGTCAGTTGTACGCAACTTGACATACTTGCTGGCTCTCAAGAAGATGCGAGATACTTCAGTTCAATTCCTGGACAACAGTGCATGATCACAGTAATCTTTAGGTGCGGCGGTTAAACCTTTAAAAAAGACTGCAGGATTAAAAATGTGAAAATCTATGCAACAGAAAATATTTTTGAGTAATGCTGGACAGTGTGTAGGCTTTACTCTGTAGTACCGATTGGTTTAGGTGGAGAATTATCTTAGCTGGACTAGTGAGGTGAAAATAGTTGAAGATATTTGATACTTCGCAACGTGTACGTGATTTTGTAGGGAAACCCGATCAACTTGCATTCGATTAGCAATCAGAGGTGGTCTTATCTTTCGGTATTTTACATATCAAGAAGTGAATGCAACCATCCCCATTTAGAGTATCTTTTACAATGACCACTCCATTATAGGGACCATGTTCTGACTGCCAAGACTTTCCGCCGAAGATGAAACTAACTCCGCTGAAAATGCCGCTTTCGAACAAATGGCCCTTAACCTTGAGACGGGTAGCCATCTACCAGCATAATAGGACATGTGAAGTATGATGGTCACAAACTGTAGTTTGCTAACCACTATCTTCAGTTTTTCTCACCTCCACAGCACTCACTCAGTGCATTCTGTTTGAAGATGTACTGTCGGTGGGAAACCCCAGTAAATTTGTGGACCCCATCCACTATCCATCATCTTATGAAACGAATTTGCGTGAATGACGGGATTGACAGTAGTGCTACTTCCGATGTTGTCGCGCAATAGTGTTTTCTGAAACGAGATTATGCTTACCTTCTACACAGTGACCTATGTCTGTGTAGTAGAACCATGGCGAAAAGAAACAAATTTGAACTCCCTTATCAGCACTCAGTAGTAAACAGAACTGGGTCAAATTAGATCCGACTAGTCACAAGGTTGCCGAAAACTCCTCGAAAGCCCACGATACGTTTTGCCCGCCTTGGGGCGCAGTTTTATTTGAGATCGAATTGGACAGATTTTGACAAATACACTTATTGACATATCAATTTACTTTTCACAAAAGACTCAGCTGAATGTCGCCTTTATGGTATTCATCACAGTAAAGGAAATTCTTTAGTTTGGCGAGGAATAATAGGATGTTGTATGCCAAAGAGGTGTCAAGCCTCTGTCAGATTAACGGATTGTTAATATTGCAACTACTGTTCGGAATGTCACGTAGGAAATCTACGATGGGCTTGGTATTGTGAAACTCGCATAAGCAACTGACGCAAATGCCATCCAGTGGCCGTGTATCTTCACCATCCGTATTGAATTTGAGCATACTATGTTCACTCATTCGCAATTTCCAAAAGAAGTCAGTTGGATTTACCATTTGGGGCAATACGTACCTGTCAGAACATGACAAAGTACCACTCGTCAAAGGACAGTTCAGATGTCCTTATTCAGAAAATGAATATTTTTAAGGAAACAAGCTCTCCAGTGCGAATTGAACAGCCTATGTCGACACATATATCCACCTTATCGGTGTCACAATCGTCAAGCAACACCTGATCCCGTAATCAGTAAAAGGACAGTATCTAGGACTGTAGTTATTTGACGGACTTCCTCGCTGAAAACTAGATGGTCACTGAGGCGGTTCTATTAAGCTTGATTAAATCGATCGAAATTACGGGGTTACCTACTTCATATAAAAATGAGGAATTGTTCTGTTTTATTTGATACGTATGTCCTTGGTAGTTTGCTTGAGTCATTTGCTCAAAGTAACTTAGCTTATTATCATTTCTACTCATTTTCGGATGATCGTATTTGTTTCTTTAAACGATTTCCCGAACTAGTGTGAATTCTCTACACAAACCACTCAGTTTGAGAGCAGCGATTCAATTAGCAGCAATTCTGCTGTAAAGAAAATATACCGTAAACTCATGTGGTTTCATTTATGCGAATAGGAAGAGGAGATGTGGAGAGATAGGATATGGGGCGCCGCAAACCGAAAACGTAGCATCCAAGGCATTGCAGTGCCTCTTTGGCTGGCTGGAACAGTCGCATCTTGATTCTGCGGCCAGCCGAAAGCACACAAAAATATTCTACCAGTGAGACCGATACTGGAAATGTCGAAATCGCCGCACCATTCACTTGCCACAGGGTTGACCCAGAACTCGAGGCAGTTAGATATGTTACCAGCATATGCTATCGAGTTTGCCAATACGACCACGGGGTGGTCACCACCGGAAAGCAAGTGTTTTCACTTGGTATCACGTCAAGTGAAACGACAGGCTATCCGAGTAATTACATCGAGAGTGACGGACCAGAGAATGACATCCAAAAGGAATAGGTGAAAGAGAATTTGACATCGTGTACACACAATTCGCAGTTTCAGCTCAATAATCAAATCAGCGGTCAGAAATTTGGTGCTGTCATGATGTCTCCATCTGACCAATTTCTGGCATTTATATTGCAGGAGAACTTGAAGAACACAAAGTAATGTATATCCAGGTGAAATCGACCATTTGTAAGCCATTCCTAGATAATATATCTGTATACGTTTCGAATGAACTTGGATTTTGACAGAATCAAGTCCAGCTCACACAAATATCAAGCTAACTCTAGAGCCAGGAAGCTGGAACTGCATTCACTTTCTCGACGTTGAACTGGCTAGAACGAAAGGAGCCACAACTGAGAGAACAGTGCAAAGGAATTAAACCTGGAGTGGAAAGTGGATCCAATTTTAATGCCTTGTTCCCCTAACCGAAATGGGAATATTACATGACGCCTGACAAACAAACCACTGAGTATTCTCTGTATCTCCATGCTGAAAGCTGGGATACCAAACCAGGGGACGGGTGTTTTGTCTAGAAGGCCATACCAACTAACGCTCAGAACTAAATGCGCACCCGCCAAACAAAGAACAAATTTTCATCAATTTTCCTACCAAAATTTCGCTTGTGGCCGAAGTTTCATCATACAGATTTTGAAAGAGCTTATGCAGCAGCGAACTTCCAATAATTTTCTGATCGAAGCCCATTCTGAGGAAGAGAGTGAGAAGCATTTCGCCTCTGTGTGTAATCGGCATCCTAGTGTGCGTATTCGAATGTCCACATAGGTCGTTTGTCGTGCAATCGTCACGAAATGGTCTTAAAAAAGGTATATTCCATGAACAATATCCAGTTTGCTTAATCCATTAAAATGAAGCTCTATTTCAGTTCAGTTATTATGTACTTGGTTAACTCCAGCCATACTGTCGAAGACCTTGAAACAGCGCAAAGAGTCCCAGAAGATTATTTCAAGTTATGAAGAACTCAGATGCTTGCAGTTACCTAAGCGATATCCACCTAGTTTAATGAATCTGAATTTTGGGCGCGAAAAACAATCCCTGGGGACACTGAATCTTAACCGTACACAACACCTACGAACCGCAACTTACTTCTAGACGAAATTGTACACAGTTCTGGAAATGCACTTAGCTAAAAACTAGCCTAGTTTTGAAACAGGACTCAAATGAATCCGGCTGAATCTGACGCTTAGGACCGTGCTGCACACGGACCGCCTCATGTTTCAGTTGGTACGATATTTGAGATACCGCATCATATTTTCTTGACGGAACATATTTTCCACAAGATTTCTGAAAACTGCTCAATAGCCCACAACCGTTTCTTTTGATCCTGAGGCTCGTCAGATAGGCACAGTCTCAGAGTTCCTGTCAATCTTATGTTTACCTTGAATCCAAAGTGAATACAATTTGCGAGCTACTCATTTGAACGCCGGTTTTGTTTTCAAGAGGAACTCAAATGAATCCCAACTGAAGAATAATATACACAAGAGATTCAGTTGAGATTCATTTGGATTCCCCCTTAAAGCCAGCTTAGTTTGCAAATGGGTACATTTCGCAATATGGATTCTAATTATGAACTGGATAGTTTTCCGCTCTTCTAGCACTTTTTTGCATTTGAATTCACATAAAGCATATGAGTTCACGGGGTTTCCTTACGGCAAAATTGCTGCTCATCGAATCGCTACTCTCAAACTAAGTGATCTGTGTAGAGAAGGCACACTAGTTCTGGAAATCCTTGAAAGATACAAATACAGTCATGCGAAAAGAGTAGAAATGATAATAACCTAAGTTAATTTGAGCAAAACACAGGTAAATTACCAAAGACCTACGTACGGAATGAAACAGAATGAGTTCTCTACCGACGAATTCAACTCGTTTGCAGAGTAAATTGCCGTTAACAGAAGGCTTATTTGAAGCCCCCGTTTATGACCGTAAGTGGATTACACCTACGTGGTTGGCAATAAGAGAGGCTAAAGCTCTATTGGACTACCGAAGAGTTTTCAATAATCTTATAATTATCTTGTTGCGTCTAGAGACCTTCTTTAGTTAAAAGCCTAGACATACAAGGATCGATTTTCATAATCGGTGTAGGTGACAGAATATAAATCAAGCCCCCAGAAGCTCACCGCTTTAAAGAACTCTGACTCCAGTTATTCACTATACTGTAGTATTATCGATTTATTTTCTAAATACGGTCAAAGGCGCATACTCGTTTCATGGCATTGTATACCCTTTTGCGCACGCTTTACTAGCCCAGCTTATCATAAGTAGTTTACAAACATTTTGCATTATTTGGTCGCTGTTCCCTAACCAAAGCTGCGCGAAATATGAAGCAGAGTCTGATCGCAAAATTAGGCATTTCCATGCAGTGTTTATTAACTAAAGAGCACCATGCCCCTCACAAACTAACCTGGAGCCCTACTTCTCACTTTTCTCTCCGCTGCTAAAGATTGTGTATCCTGTGCGTATTCAAATTCTAGAAACCTCGCAGCCGACGCTAAAACGCAGCACAAACAATCTCTCTTCCTTCCTAGAACGCCTAAACAGGATGGTAATTCGGTAAACTGACCCTCTCGACAGACTGACTGCACAATGAGCACAATGCGCGATTAGCGTGAAATTAAATCAGGGTGCGATGACTAGGGGAGCGCGTAATTTATGCAGTGTATGTTCTGTGAAGTTCCAACTAACAGCCATCGTTTGGAGTGTGTTCCGATAAACTGACACTCAGCACAAACTGAAGTAAGGCATTTCAACAACAACAACAACAACAACAACAACAACAACAATAACAACAACCTGCCTTAGTGTGAAAACACCGTTGTTGATCTGTCGCGTGTTCTGTTCGGTAAGTAGCCCGATAACTTTGGGTCATCTGTCGAGCAGACATCCCCAGTGAACGACTGGGTGAGGTAAGAAATTCTAGTGGAATTTTAATGAACTTCTATTCACGTCACATCTGCCCAACCAATTGTCTAACCCCGGTGTCTTAACGCAGTTACTCAAACTGTCATAAAAATAAATGTGCAACACCCCATTTATGCACGTATGATAGTCTGCTTTTGCACCTTCTGGATATATATATATATATATGCGTCAGATTTCTAGTTTCGAATGCGAAACGTTCTGAACACTACCGTTACTACGGAAAGGCACTGATGCTCTTAAATATGACTTCTAGAGAAAAACAAAGGGTGACCCCTATGGCTCACTCACCTGATGATGCTCGCAAGATATATGTCCCACTTGGATGACCCATAACTAACAGCATCTTTTCAGCCTCCTCTCGGTCAACGTCAAACCAAGCAGCATGCTTGACTGGTAAAAGATCCACAATCTCAAGTTTTTCCAAAGGTACAAAACCACGAGATGGTTTGTTAGTTGTTAGGTCCAGTTTGGTTGGGTGCTCAACAAACAACCAGCTGCCTGGTGAGGAAGGTTGATACCCCAATGGGTTCTGGTGAATTATGTTCAACCTCTCCCCCACTTGTATGGTTAATTCAAAAGGGCTGTTTCTCACATGAGGAGCAATACAAACAGCAACATCTTTCCTTAGTTTGTGCACCCTTGTCAGTCGTGATGTGGATCTGCAGAACGACTCAGAGCTGCATGCATCGTTCTCCTGGTCTCTCAAAAAGCCCAAGTAACTTCCGGTTGTATCCCGCGAATCATGTAAGTTGGGGGCAAGAAAGTCTGGTTCTAAGTTTCGGCGACGTGTTCTGGGTGGTCGTGGTGGTATATCTGAATCGTCCGGTTCTGATCTTCCATTTTCAGATACATCCGAGTCTCCCACACCGCAAACGCCCACGGCGCTTGTTAGATCTGCTCTCTGGCGGTCCTTTGTCGCACATATTGAACAACTACCCAGTCCGCTATCATTAGGCGAGCCTTCTGTGAATCGACTTTGCCAGTGCAAATGGTTACTGGAGCCATCGTTGGAAACACTTCGTTTAACTTTCCCTGAATCTAAATAATTTCGTCTCCCATATGAAGATTGGGGCTCGGGGGAAGCCAGGTGAACCGGATACAGTTTTGAATGCGAACCAAAAACGCCAAGAAATCGGTTCTTGGTCGAATCGAACGGGGATAGGGATGGAGATTTTTCCACTCCGGAATCCAGACAAATTGAGGATGAAGCTGGAAAATTTTGCTTTGTGTAGAGATTGTGGCGAGTGTTTCCGTTGATGTGTTTTATCTTCGGAGTTGTGGTATAAAATATTCGTTCGGAATCTGTCAAACATCCAGCGGCTGTTAACTGCGGAGTATCACGAGATGAAATTTGAATCACAGGATTTGTTCTTGATTCCCAACCCCCTTGAAATAAAGCAAGTGAATTCTCAGGATCCGCAATACGGCTTTTGTATTTTGAGGTATTTTGTATGTGATATGCCAGGTCATTCAATAGGGAAACACATTGTGGTGATTCGACTAGCTGTCTCTGATCGATTTGTGATGGTATGCAGTTACCCATTAAAAATGAGCGAACCGAGTAGACAACTTTCTTTCGTCTGCTTTGCCAACTTGATAATGCGTTCGATGCGCCGGTTCTCTGAGACTGTCCGTCGCCTTAACGATCGTCCGGTCGTAAGACGCACCAATAGGTGCGGGCATAACGCGTGATAACACAGACACACACCAAGTCACAACACAGGTTAAGCACAATGACCGTGTGCATCGAGCATTCACAAATTCGTGTGACCCCGGTGTAATTTTCGCGTCGATGCTTTTGTTCTACATGTAGAGAACATGTAGTGGCGCGTATCTGTGCACGTCAGTCTGTGGCTAGTCAAATGGAACACACTATAGGTAGATTGCTTTTCACAGACTGACCTTTGTAGGCTTACCACCAAACAGGACAAGGTAGCGGCGATAGTACCACGGGCTTCAGAATTATGTTCAAAATAGTGACTTGTGGGAACAAGGGAAACTTCAAGTTCCGCTTCATTGAGGGTAGTTTTGACGAACAGCAGAGCTCCCTAGAGCTGATACTTGGACGCAGGTAATGAAATCCTTCTGACAGTTATTTTGCACAGGAAGTGTTGAAGAAGGCTGAGCGCTTGAACCTTCATCTAAAAAAGAGCGCTGTGAATGTGTTTGTTTTCATTATAACTCATCAGGTGCATGTAGAGGGACGCCCCAAACTGGGATATCACTTAACTAATCAGCATGCATCCATCAAACTATCCATCAATCCAAACTTCAATTAACCAGTCTCAAAGTTGTCTGACTTTCATTTAATTTAATTGCAAATTCCTGGAACTCATTTCCCTGGCATTCTGTTCTTTTAAGTTCAAGTTAATCCACCATCTGCAGGTAAAAGAGCAACCAGAAATCGAACATCAGTTTACATCAGTTTACATCAGTTTACGTCAGCTGCTGAGACCTTAAATTCCCCGAGCCGCGGACATGCTTTACATGAACAGTAAAATATCGCATCCTACTCTTGACCATTCAAAACTGTAATATGCCTAGTAGACGTGGCACTACATAACATATATATATATATATATGTATATCATACTGGCTACAGCATACACTGAAACGTCTATTCTGGACACTCTCTAGTCATAGTTTCCCTCAAATGATCTTCCGTGCGGAGACAACCACTATATGTCGCAAGGTGAAACCTATAGAATAGAAAGCCAATAAATGGGCACATACCTTGGCAACAATACAAGCCCCAGAACCACCACGGCCAGAACCACATCCTATTATCTACAGAGTGGCTAAAGTATCTGAGAACGTTCATCTAAAATGGATCTGGGTTACGCATAGAAGGTAAATTGTTATCCAATAAAACTTGCAAACGTGGATGCACAATTTGACTATGTGATGAGCAGGGTAGGCCATCTAATCCATTTTTGCCTTTGTAAAAAGTAAATATTTTTATGTCTCTAAGCTACGGACCTGACAAGTCAGGCCCTCCAACTGACCTCATTTCGTGGTCTTACAGCAGCATTTTCAAACAGTTTAGTTCGTTGGAACTATCCGTAATTTTGAATACATCTTGATATTGTCCGATCAATGACACGGTGTAACGATGAGAAGGAGGTTAATGAAACGGACCTTCGGTAGATTCAAAGACGCCAACTAACTACAATGAGCCACAGTCGTGCCTGAGTGTGTAAGTCTCCTAACCACTTGCGTGCATGTGGTACAGATTATTTAGGTGAGATCAAACTACAGTGACGTTTCGCCAGCTGATGACATCAGTTTTCGTTCCAAAAGCCAAGAAATGTGTACAGTTTAGGACCTGTAACAAGAGCCCAAGTACACACAACTTAGACGCAACGGACTTCTCAACTGAGAAATGAGACCGAGACCACTCATCCACCGAGCCAACGTTGTATCAACTATTCTAGGGACCCGACGCGTAGCATTCAGTGCGTGCTTAAGTCCTTGTGCGGTATTATCTAAATCGCCATTGCGTGAATTGTACTTAGGTCTGTCTTGTGTCGCTAACCAAAAGAGTAACCCTTAATGATAACGAGATGGTTTTTCAGCAGTGGTAAGAATGGCATGTGTTTGCAGGAATTTCATTAAAACGGCTGAATGAGTTCCTTCGACCATGAACTCTTAATTAATTTTAGAGCAAGCAACTATCGATTGGAACCGCACTGCGAACAAAATGTCGTCAACGGTCTGAATGATAGAATTGACGGTAATCGGTAGTTATAAAACCTAAAGCACAAAAAACTACAAAGCTCTCAACAGGTCGGATGATGCCCACGTCAATACTTCATTTGCCTGATAAGTGACAAGAGTCCAGACACTGTTTCAATTGACCTACCCAGAGTAGATCTGACAGTGAGTAGGATCAACGGTATCGAAAGTCCAATAAAGGAAGTTAAAACATATGAAGTGTTTTGAAGTACTTCGCATGGGTAGTGTGGAAAAGGACTGTTCATCCTCTTTCAGTTGCTTGTCTCGTCGTTGCTGGATCATTTTTCAAGCGACATTATGGAGTAAGGACTTTCTGCATCTTGGAATACAGGTGCATAGAAGTACGTATATTTGCCGTTAACCAAGGCGATACACGTTTGTAACAGATGGACGACAAAACTGTTACCAGTTTATCAGCCATTACTAATTATTGTGGCCATGCTACATCTACTGCACAACAATCTTTGTATGGCATTCCACTACCGACAACTTTACTTGGATGAATCAGGTCTTGGCGCGACTCCGTTCCCTATCTTCAAAACCACCTCAGTATAGACACGAGAGTTGCCAGAGCTGGCTTCCAGAATATTTTGTCGAATGAGATTCATGCTTGTTTGTTTGGGCTTATGATTGATTTTAGTTTTCAAATTCAAGTAAACCCAACTAAGACGGTGAGTTCGATCTCACTGAACTACGGTTTAGTTGCCACCGCCTTACTCCATTTATATAGGTATTATGGCCTTCCATTTGTATGTACCGCTCGCCATATTTAGTTAGCTCACTTACGTTAAATACGAGTAAAACTTTGGTTAGGATATTGGACTCGAAACCACAGAGTTATAAGGGAATAGCTGGTTTCACGAGCCAGTTTCACAAGTCGACTAAAATATCTGTCTCTTGTTTCCGATAGAAAGCTCAGTTCCTCAAACCAATCAAAAGGCTTTTTGATCAGTGGAAGCTTACATACCAACGATTTAGAGTTCTGCGAAAAATTAGGAATTGTCACGATAAAGGACTCCCCAAAACCTCTAATACATTGATCCTAAGACAACCATTCACTCTAATCAGAGTGGAAGTTTGTCTCACAACAAACACTGACTTATCGCGTTAATCAAAAGAAATGCTGAGAGTTCGCCTCAAAACTCTTTCAGCCTTGTAGCCTACTCACTCAGAGTGGCTGTATCACCAGACTGAACTTTCAGCCAGTTAAAACCGAGTCCACTAGTGCCAACGTTTCCGTCTTCATATAGTGGACACAGCCTCATATATGTTATCTTATGCTCACTCCACAAGTTTATGTAGGTACGGGACCTGTCATCCAGGTATGAGCTAGCCAGTGGATCGACAGGCTTGGCGAACTTTAATGTGACGTACATGCCGATGTGAATGATTCTGCAAGCTACCGATGTAGACCTGCAAGAACGAGTTAGACGGTTTAATCTACTGCCGATTCTAGCAGTTTCACATGTTGAGGATGACTAAGATCACTGTGGTTTTACGCATCACTTGGAGTACAACTGGATAGATTCGCAACAGCTGTCTTCGTACCCAGTGGTGTAAATGGAATGTGTCATTGGCAGCAGGAGGCCAAGGTTGTTCAGTTTACAAAGTGACCCGGACGCAATTTGTTCATGTTAATTTGGTTGCACCCATCTCAAAAGATTAACAGTGACTAGTCAAAATGCTTCCTCCCATTCAGTAATCGACAGTATAGACTGATCGATGTGGTCTTCGCGTAGCTGCATCGGGAGGATGTGAGCACCATGTCGGGATTGTGCCCCACTGATACAGATGTAACCGATTCGCACAACTTTATCTTATACGGGGTCATCAGGCTCGTTTTCGCAGAGGATGTTAAATAACACAACTGGCAACATGGGTTAGTTTGCAGAATGGTCCATCCGATCAGTCGACAGAGGGGTGATTCACCTAGGGAAATCTAATGAACTAAATTGCACTCGTGTTATGCTGACGGCGTCTTGAATCCTACAGAGGGTACAGAACAGACCTATATAATGGTCGTTGGCTTGTTCGCTGAGCTGGGCAATTTGCTTGCCCAGCTCAGCGAACAAGCCAACGACCATCTACGCTACCTGAGCTACCGACATTCTCCTCTATAGAAGACCTATATAATAAAAAGCACCTGTTTGTTGCTCAGAGGGTAGACATTCTGGAAAACCTGTCATACTCAGGGCTAATCCAAAGTTCTGTGGTTGATTTTATGAATTTGTGTTGTAAAATTGTTCATAACACAGTATTCTTAATTAACCGCTTTGCAGCAGAATGATAGCAAAGTCAACATATTGTGTCAGGTGAATTTCAGGTTTCCCTTGACCTAACGTATTTTTCGATTGTCGTTGTACGGACAATCGTTCGTCTGAAAAAACAATGAACTTAGTCATTTATTTCTTCGTGCAAGTATGAAAACAAACACATGCGATTGCTATGCTCTTATTTTTTGCACTGAGCAGTCAACCATTTTGGTGAAAACTTTATCAGTAAAACCGACTCGGAACGCGGAGACCCTGACATGTGCGTAGAGCATGTGAATAGGTGTAAACACAAACCCATTGCGACAGTTAATTTTCCCCCATACTGGCAGCTGCAATGCCTTATGAATGAAGTGTCCACTAAGATGCATTCGTGAATAAATCACATCTGGTTTGCAATGGCATGAAGTACAGCTAACGGGTTTACTCTATTTACAATCTGATCACGCGATCTCCGGTAAATGCTCTAGTTGCACTTTACATGAAGTACTTATAATGACGCCGGAAGTGGTATGAACGTGAATTTCGTCCACTAGTG